GCTCATCTGTGGGCCTGCAGCCTCTGTGGGTGGTCCGATGACTGCTGGTTATCACCGCTGCCGGCACCCTCTGGGTTGTCCATGCCATACTGGGCAAGAACCTGCCCACTTCTGTGTGCTAGTACCTGGGGCGCACCGCATCCTTGTCTGATGAATATCAGATGCGGCTGCTTCTTCTGCTCTTGTCCAGGGCTGTGACTGATGACACAGCCTTTACAATCTTACCTGTGCTTGGTCACACCCCCTCTCTCTGCCCAAGCATTGCTGAATACAAGTATGGCTATATCTCTTGTCTTGGATATACAGTTCATTTATTACAGTAGTCTGCTACATTTTATTTTTTATTTTCTTATTAACCCCTATCTAGACCCAATGTTGACTATGCTTGCATAGAGCAGCCTGTGTTAGAGCTTATAATGTACATGCTGCATGGTGTACGCACTGTTACTGCATACGCAGCGTACTGTATATGTATGGGAAGTGCTAACGCAACACATGCGGTGACAGTGGGTACACCATGCAGCATGTACATTATGAGCCCTAACACAGGCTGCTCTATGCAGTCATGTCATCACATTCTGGAATATCATCAGCCTGCATTAGGCCTCAGACTATACAAGCTGCGTTGTGTACATGCGGTAAGGCAGCGTATACAGTAACACAGCATGTAGTATGAGCCCTAACACAGGCTGCTCCTTGCGGTCATCACATTCTGGAAAATTGCCATACCAAACTCTCCAAACCCTGAATTCCTGTCCACTCCCTTGGTGATCCAGCATGCTTTGGGTCTCGTGGTCTTTTGAGTGTGACTCTTTTGGGGGCATTGGTTTTCCGTGGTGAAGTCTGTCTTGCTGCATTCTATTGCCAATTGGTTTTATTTGTTTATATGTATAGTTGCCTGGACACCACCTTTTTTACTGTAAATTGACCTCTTTTAATAACTATAAATAGGGCTTATTTTTTGAGTAGGGCTTACGGTATACTTTGAGAATTAAATCGCTATGGTAGGGCATTCTTTTTCAAAGTCTTTCTTTTTTATCCTGTTAGAAATGGATCCCAATACTTCTAATCCTGGACCAAAACAAAAACGCAGGTCATACGAAGCTGGTTTCAAACTTAAGGTTGTGTCAAGAGCAGAAGAAAGCAGTAACAGTATTGCAAGTAGGGAATTTTGTGTTGATGAAAAACAAGTGAGGGAGTGGCGGAAAATGAAAGCTGACTTGGAAAAGATTCCAAAGGCAAAAAAGGCTCGACGCGGTTTAACAACTTCCTATGGGGCTCTAGAGAGTGAATTGCACAAATGGGTTATGGAGTGTCGTCAAAATGGCTACTGCGTAACACGCATGGGAATTCGCTTACGCGCCCTTCAAATGGCTAGAGACGACAAGTTAAAAGCACCAGGCATTGAAAATTTTGTTGCGTCAGCAGGATGGTGTACCCGCTTCATGAATAGGTTTGCCCTATGTTTGCCGCAAAGAAGAAAGATTTCACAGAAGTTGCCAAAAGACCTTGATGAAAAAGTGATGTCATTCCATTCATTCATCATAAAACAAAGAAGGATCCATAACTATGACCTGGGAAATATTGGGAATATGAATGAAACACCTATGACCTTTGATCTTCCAAGCAACAGAACTGTGGCAAGTTTGGGAGACAAAACTATGTTACTCAGAACCATGGGACATGAAAAAACGCATTTCACAGTCGTTCTGTCGTGTTTGGCTGACGGAACGAAGCTGCGGCCTGTCATTATTTTTAAGAGAAAGACCTTGCCTGAGAAGGCCAAATTCCCACCACGAGTTACAGTGCGCGCACATATTAACGGCTGGATGGATGAAGACGGGACAAAAAAATGGCTGGAAGAAATTTGGAACGGACGGCCAGGAGCAGCCTTAAAGACAAAACCATCATTGCTGGTTTGGGATATGTTCAGAGCCCACACATCAGATGACATAAAAAAACTGGCAACGTCTTCTCAAGTGACTTTGGCCGTTATTCCAGGTGGGCTTACATCTGTATTGCAGCCCCTAGATGTGTGTTTAAATAAACCTTTCAAAGACCGTGTGCAGAAGATGTGGCATGAATGGATGTCATCTGGTCACGCCCGACTGACAAAAGTTGGAAATCTGATGATGCCCGACATAGAATTGATAGCAAAGTGGGTTCGTGATGCATGGGAGGAAATTCCAGGGGACATAGTGCAACACGCCTTCAAGAAATGTGGCATTAGTAATGCTATGGGTGGCAGTGAAGACAGCGCTTTGTATGAGAACAGTAGTGGTGGTGATGACTGCGAACTCACTGATGAGGACAATGTCTATGCTGGTAACCTCACACCAGCTAAAGCTGAAGCTCCGCTTGAACATGCAGATGAGGAGGAATCCAGTTTTGAAAAATTTTAACTCTTGGGTTTTAGTTTGGTTGCTGCTTGAGCTAAGGTTTTTGTACTTTTAAAGTTATTGTTGATACCATATTGTTTGTTGACCCTCTTTTCCACTTACAGAGCTAGTTTACTGTTTTTCTTTGAAATATTCAAAAACATTTAACCTACTGATGCCTCGATTAATGTAATTTTATTGGTATCTTTTTATTTTGAAATTTACCAGGAGCTGCTGCATGTCCCACCCTAGGCTTATCTGCGAGTCAGTAAGTTCCCCAGGTTTTTTGTGGTAAAATTAGGTGCCTGGGCTTATTCTCGAGTACGGTAAGTAAGGTTTGTGAGTTCTGAGATGTTGCGGGGAATTGCTGAACCTCAACAGAGCAGGGAGAATGCTCAGGGTGGAATCAGGTGGTGTGGTTTAACAGCTCAGAGTGGAAATCTGACCTATCTGCCTCTCCTGTATCGGAACTGGCTGTGTTGACTCTTACATTGGAGGTTATTTGGACACCAATAAAATCCAGTTTCTGCACAAGTGGAGAGTGATATGGTGCTATTTTGACCAACTGAGAGTAGAAATCCCCTATGATCTAGGAATACCTCTTCTAGGCATACACCATAAAGAAGAGCCATTACACGAACAGACACACTCCCATGTTCTTTGCAGCACTGTTCACAATAACAAGAAGTTGAAAACAGCCAAATGCCCATCAGTAGAAGCAGCATCGTACATACACCGTGGAATATTATGCATCACCAAAACAAAACGCCTCATGACATGCATGGACCTGGAGAACACGATGCTGGATGACGTCAATCACAAAAGGGCAAACGTTCTGAGACTACTGCTGTAAGAATAAAAACCAAGATAGATTTACATGCCAAAAGAATTAGAAGGGTCTCCAGGGAAGGGAGAGGGTGGGGAGACAGAGCAACAGATTAGGAGGTTGACAGGTAACTGACCTGAGTGAAAGGGAGGTTGGAGGTGCAGGAAAGGGAGAAATCAGGGGAGCTGGAGATAGAATACAGAGGGTGGGAGTGGGGGTGATGAGTGGTTTAAACTGTTAAATACAGTGTTAATGGGCTGAAATTAACAGCCTCCGCACCCCACCCCACCATAGATGGTTTTTACACACCCTGAATCTTATTACAATTGAAATCTTGTGTTTAATTCATGGGCCTTCCCCAATAATTAATTCCTGCCCAGAGTCACAGGGTAAAGAAAATAATCAGTAAAAGCCACAAATCATGTTATATTATTCCCACAGGAACTCACCTCACTAAGCATTACTTAGTTGCAAAATGTCACACCAAATACATCACAAATAGCACAGAAAACATTGAGAAATCCCGTTTTAAATGAAAAACTCTAAAGGCAGATGGCAGGTAGGCAGCAGGCACACCTGAGAACCAGGACGACGACCCTGGAAGCCCCAGGTAAAGGCAGTGCACACGTGGTTGGAAAGACAGCACTAAAAATTTTCTCAACACCGCTTTGAGGTAACTTTCAGTAAAATAGTAATGCCGACAGCTGAAACATGGGAGTTTTAAGGAGGGACAGATACCTTTGCTCCTGCTAGCTTGTTAGATTCTGTCGTACTGCTAAGCAAAATCTAGAACTGCGCATGTGCACTGGGAGCTGCGCAGAGAGAGCCAGCGAGACAACAGCTACTGCAGCAGGACTTTTTCTCCCACTTTACACTTCTGCAGCAGGACCTTTTCCAAAGGAGGCTCCTGCCGTTACACTTTTTACACTTTACACTTCTGGGTCCCCAGTGAAGTCATTTGTAGAAATCATTTGATCACGGTCTTCCTTCTCTTCCTTACACCGCCATCAGCCGGGGATCACAGAAACATGAAAAAGCTTTGAAACAGCCTGCCCTACTTGTCAGTGATGAAATTGGTGTGTTGTTAATATACACAGGTACACAGTACATTTCTGTACTCCTCCCCCTGCCCCAATGCAAAAGCAACAAGTGATTTCCCTAAAGCACCAACCACCACCACCACCCACACACAGAGAAAAGGACTTGGAGCCATTCCATTGATCGCTCTTTATTCAAACCCCTTCCCCCACAGGGCTAGAGCTGGTCTACTCTCTACAGTTCATTCTCCAGAGAAAGGAAGCCCCCTCACCACTCCCCACAAAGCCTGTCAGGGCCTCCTTAAGTTGTAGCACAAACAGCTACTTGCTACCTCTAGCCGTTCTGCACCCCTCTTTTTATGAAGCTCCCAAGGTTCGCCCAGAAGCCTTCCAGTGTGGTGCTTTAAGAGAAACACGGTGACCCACATGTTCATGTATATACAAAACCAAAAATAAATAACGGGGGCTCTTACACAAGGACACCTTGCTCTAACGGGTCTGGGGTGACCAGTCTGTGGATGGTGTTCCGGGACAGATGACTGGAACACAGCTGAGCTTCTTTCCAGTTTCAACAGTTCAGTAGTTCTAAAGAGGGCGGAGCTCTGCCACCTCGGGGTGAAAATGCTGAACTTGGTTTCTGGTGAGTTGAAACCAGGGTGGGGCGGCCCAATGTCATGAATGAGGGTGAACTGGAGACTCAGCAGCAACTCTGACACCATTGTATGGATTCCGCAGCTTCTTAGTTCTCCCAGAGAAGCCATGGAAGGCTGCCTGTCACCAACCTTGGCTAAAGACGGCTTATTTCTGCCAACAGCAGATGCCTTACAGGAGTGGAGTTCTCACAAAGAGCTCCCTCCCAACTTTGAAGCAAGAGGCCGGGGAAAGGGTGATGTGGAGGGAAACCCAGAAGGCAAGTTGAAAGAAATCAAACTGTCCTCCCAACAGAAAGTCTGTCGGAGAGCTTAGAAAGAGAGAGAGAGAAGCAGGGAATGGTGATGGATGGGCTGAGGCAGGAAGCGGCAATGACAACCCTTGGGCTTGGGGAGAGTCCATCAAGATGCTCTGTGATCAAAGTGGAGAAGGTGGGTTCGGTCTCCCCAAAGCAGAACCCCGCAACATCACATCCTGGTGGAGCGCCACGTGGAAGCCCTCCTCCTCACCACACTTAGCTGAGATGAGCGTCCGTCACACACACTCAAAAATTGCAGCTATTGCTGCTCACCTGACCCACTGCCCCCTCGGCTCTCAGCTCGTTGGCAGTTGGTCTCTAGCGCCAGGCCCGGTTCAGGAGTTTCACCTGAGCCAGTCTCTTTGTGATCATGGTGGCAAAAACCAGGCCGAAGAGGACACTGCTGATTAACACGTAGTCATAGTCATCCTTCAAGACATCAAACTGTTTGGACGGGTAGACCCGAGTTTGGTAGATGTCCAGCCCATAGGCCACAACCTGCAAAGGTGGAAGGGAACAGGAAGGAAGTGAGAGAGGCAACAAGGTCTGCCACACCCTCCCATCTAGGCAACGAAGGGAGTCAAATCGTCAGCTGCCCTCCCAGGTGAAACAGGTGAATCCTCAGCCGCCAGTCATTCAGGCAGCGACCGTGAGGGGCACAGGCTGGGAATGGGTTTCACTCACCAAACACGTGGATTCCAGGCCGGAGGGCGCCGTGTAGATCCCACGCATCCGAGAAACAGTCTGGTTATAGTTGATGAATCGCTCTGCGTGTATTTGAACGTCTGGAGAATACGGGATCAGATTCTCCTCTCTGCAAAACACCAGGAAACAGGCTGTCTTAAAGCAGCTAGGGGTGGCCGGCTGCCCATTCTGAACCCTGGGCCCGGTTCCAGGCCATTTATCCACCCTCACATCTTCCTAGCGGTCTGCTTTGTCCGCTGAATGTTAGGGAACACTGTAAGAGAGAGCACTCTGGCTGGAGAGACAGCGGATTCCGATCTTGTGCTAAATCTTTGAGGGGAAAAGCAGCACACAGGCAGTGTTTCACAGCAGAGGAAAGCCAAGGTCATTTGAAGACCCCATTGGTCTCACTAGGCCAAGCCCGCTCTTCACAGCGCCTCTCCAAGCATGCACCTCCTCAGAAGCCTCCCCCGCAACCCTAACCTACTCTCTCCGACAGTCCTCTGAAACCACACCCTTGCCCTCTTTAGCCCGAGAGAGCTGCTGTTCCTAACCCAGGTTCACAATCCCCACGTCCTTGATTCAAGTGGAGGGTAAGATAATATGCACAAGTGATGGGTGGAAAACAAAAATTAACACTAATGGGTAATAAGACCAGGTGATTTGGTCTCCATAACCCCCTGGCCTGAGTGTATCTCCCAGCACACTGGCCGCTGTGCACACCGGGCGTGATTAGGTCACAGGCATTTGCACTGGATGGAGAGAGCTCCTTCCCTCAGGTATCCACACACCTCGCTTAGTCACCTCTTGTGGGTCTTCACTAACAAGGCACCTTAGCAGAGAGGCCGCCTCAGATGTAACCTACCCCTTGCCCCGACCTGTTTTGTTTTCTTTCATTTTCGCGCCCACCTTTACCTACATATCCGAAGTTGAAGGAGCCCTGGCGTGCCATGGTGTAAGCACTGAGCTACTACTCATAAGATCCACCTGCTCCGCAGGAAAGGACACCGCTGCGGCTGCCACTAACAGTTACAGCCTCAGGAGTCCTGCGGAGCAGGCCTGCTCCGTCCAGTGGGGTCGCTCGGAGCTGGAGTTGACAGTGGTAGATCTTTTGGATCTTATTATCTCTGCCACCAGAATGTAAGCAACATGAAGGCACGTGTCCCTAAGCCCCCAGCACAGCCCAGTAAATTGAACACAAACCTATCAACAAAGTGTGTTCCTTAGGTTTAGGGCCTCAGCACTCCCAGGTGCCTCACCTGCTCTGTTCTGTTGGTACCTCAGGACGGCGAGGATCCAGCAAAGCCTTAGGAAGGGACAGAATTGCTCCTGAAGGTAGCCCAACTGTATGGGAAGAAGTCAACAGAAGTGATTGCTCTTTCTGGTCCAATTCCAGACTAGGAGCAGGGACAGAATTATCATTGTCACAGCAAGTTAACCAAAACCAAACTTGATGCCATCAAGTGGATGCTGACTCATCGCAACCCTGTAAGGACAGGTTAGAACTGCTGCTTTGAGTTTCCGAGAGTGTAACGCTGCACAGAAGTAGAAAGCCCAGTTTTTCTCCAGCGGAGCAGCTGGTGGTTTCAAACTGCTGATCTTGCAGTTTGCAGCCTAATGTGTAACCACTATGTCACTGGGGCTTCTATAGAAATTAAAAGCCGGGTATAAAGCAAAAACTATGGATCAGTGAGGTAGCCTTAAAGAGGCCTGGTCGCACAGTGGTTAAGCACAAAGTTACCAACCAAAAGGCCAGTGGTTCAAACCCATCAGTCTCTCCACAGGAGAAAGTGGAGGCAAGCTGCTTCTTAAAGAGCAGTCAAAAACCCTATACGGGGCAGTGCTACTATGTCTCGTAGGAGCTTTACCATATGGAATCAATTTAACAGCCATGGGTTTGGTTTTCGGTGGAGGGATTCTTACAGACCAAAGGCCAAGCAGCCAAAGGCTGCTTAATTCACCCATGCGGCTGAATTAAGAGGAGGCTCCGTTTTTGAGGATACCCATTTCTCCACACATCATCTTGGGACACCAGAAGATAATAGACCACGCTTCAGCCCCCCTCTCTTCTCTTAACTAGGACCCGTCATGGCCAAGCAAGTCTCCTCCCATTAACCAGATGTATGTGCCACTGCCAGCGTGAGGCCAGTGGCAGGCCAGAGCAATGGGCAAAACCAGCTCTGCCAGTGTCCGTTGTGGGGATTCAACCTGGGAAACTGCTGAAGGAGCTGTCGGCCTCATGGTCGAGAGTAACACAGTACCAGGGGCCGGGCAGGGTTCAGAGTCCAAAGATGTTTGGGAGCATCAATTAGGAAGAGCAGTCTGTTAAAACAATCCGTAAATTCTGAACAGCTTCTGAAGCCATGCCCATGTCTGCAGCCACAGAACAGGCTTGTCTACACACTAAGCGTGGTTTCCAGGTTCAACTTTCTGAGCTAAATGGAAAGGCAGACTAGAGCAGGGGAGCGGTCCACCTGAAACAAGGCCTGAGAGATGGCCATCTCTAACAGGCGACCATGCCCAGCTAGGGAGCATTTATCAACGAGAGCAAAGTCTTCCTCTAGCCTCCCCTTTATTGGCAGTCTAGTTCAGCTCTCCTGCTCTATGCCTACAGCAAGCAGATCTCCGCAGCCACTCACTAAGCAGGTGTCGGCTGGTGATGCCCCGCTCCGTGATGGTGGCTTCCATGGCACTGATGGAAGAGGGGAAGATGTAGGACTGCTGGAGGACCTGGGGCAGCTGTGGGCGGTCCAGGGAGCTGAAGGCCGTGGCGTTATACTGTTCCGTCCCCTCGTAGAGCTCCAGCACGGTGAACTCATTGCGCCGAGCCTTGGTGTTCCAGTACTGGTACTGCAGGCAGAGGAAGGGCAGCTCAGGGCCCAACTGGACAGGGCGAGTTACACTGAGAGGCGCCTTGCTCCTTCGCTACAGATCGCAGACAAAGAGAAACCACCTCCCACCGCACTATGCCTCTTGGCCATTAAGGTAGCTCACTTTCATCTACAGTACCCAAAGCTCATCAGAAGATATAGGAATTCTCAAGATTCTTAGAAGTTATAACGACCATGATTAACAAATGAATCCTCACTGGGTACATACCAGGTTCTGTTCTACACTTGGCTAGAGCTGGCTGGCGGCTATTAACTAGTCCTCTTTTCAGAGGAGGTAGCACAGGGAGCTGCATTAGTTCAACGCTGTACAGCCTGGCTCCTGAGCCTACCCCCCCACCAGGACCCCAGGCTACCTTGTTAGGAAACCTGTGAAAGCAGAAAATAGCAGCCAGCTTTCCGGAACAAGAGATAAGGAAAGGAGTGGAGATGGAGCGGGAGCAAGCGTGGCCCTGGTGCCGGAGTCTGTCAATCACTCCTTACCACCACCCAGTTCTCAGAATGCACAATGTGGACGGGGCCCTTGGCTTTCTTCTGCACGGAGGAGTGGATGATGCGTCCGGTGACACCGTCGATGAGGAAGATGCCGATGAAGGTCCGCTCGTGGTGCATGTCTGTGCTCTCTGTCACCACAGCCAGCAGATTGGGGTTCAGGCTCTGGGAAGGGAGGGAAAAAGCGAGCCTTCAGAACCATGAGGGCACATCAAACTACAAACTTCCCACCTGGTTTCATCTCAAACGTAATGTGTCCAAAACAGAACTCATCCACCTCAGGTGTCTCCACCTCAGGAACGACAAGTCTGTGCTTTCTGTCTGACACCTGAAACCTAAATCTTCTTTAATGCCGTCCCTTTTAATCCGTACACACACTCCAGCATCCTGTATGACCACAAATCCTGTAGCTCTTCCTTCGCAGTGACCCGGTCTGGTTCCTGCCCACCTCCCCTGCCTCCACACTAATTTTAGCCACCTGATTACAACGAAGGCTTCGTTTTCTCCTGACGTTCCCCTCTAGTAAACTTCCGTCATTTCAGTCACTCCTCTGCTCAAAAGCTCAATGGCTCTCTGCCTCATTCAAAACGTCAATCGTCTCATATGCATGTGGGAGCTGGACACTGAGTAGGGAGAATGAAGAGCAATCGACGCGTTTCCATTAGGGTGCTGGCAAAGAATGCTGAGAGTGCCGTGGACTGCCAAAAGGAACACGCCGACTTGTTTCGGAAAAAGTACAGCCAGAATGCTTCTTAGAAGAAAGGATGGCAAGACTTTGCCTATGTGCTTTGGACACGTTATCAGAAGAGACCAGACCTTGGAGAAGGGACTCATGCTTGGTGGAGTCGAGCAGAAGTGACGAGACGCAGGCCGTGAAGGAGCTGGGCTGACCTCGTGGCTGCAACAATGGGCTCAAACATCGCTGTGAGGATGGCGCAGGGGAGGGCAGTGACTTCATTCTGTTGTCCATCGGGTCACTAGGAGTGGGAAGTGACACCTACCACCACCACCTCCCTCAATGACCGGAGTGGTGGCCTGTGATGGGGTCTTGTCGTTTCTCTGATGTCATCTGTCCTGGCTTTCCTCCTCACTTAAATTCTGTTCCCCTCGCACTGCCCTCCCTGCTGTCCCGAGAACTCACGAGGCATGCTCCGGTTTCCCAGGCTAAGACTGCTCTTCACTGTACGTATGACAGGCACACGTCTTCCCACGTCTTCACTCAAAAGGCACTTTCTCAGTCAGCTTGTCCGTAAGCACCTTTCTTGTAAACGGCATCCTCTGCCCATTCCAGTACTCCCCACCCCTTCTCTTAGCTCTCTCTCTCTCCCTCTGGTCACTTTCTGATAGCCTATACAATTTACATATTTATCACTAGCAGTTCTCGACAACAGGGAGAGCTTCAAGAGAAAGGAAATGTCTGTTTTGTTCATCATGCCTAAAAGAATAGCTGGTATCCAATTAAACCAACAAAATAACCGAACTCACTGCCCTCGAGTTCAATCTGACTCAGCAGCCCTACAGGACAGACCAGAACTGGGCCTGTGGGCTTCGGAGACTGTGAATCTTTACAGGAGCAGAAAGCCTCCTCTTTCTCCCTACAGAGTGGCTGGGAAGTCCGGGCTGCTGACCTTTGTAGTTAGCAGCCCAATTCAAAACCCATTATGCCACTGGGGCTCCTGGCATCCAGTAAGCATTCAGAAAACACCGGCTGCTTCGCCTTCCAAACACTCATAGTCAGCCTAATCGCGAGAAAACCACTAGAGAAAGCAGAGCTGAGGGGCCACCACAAAATGACCCGCCGGCACGCCTCAGAGCTCTCCCCTTCACGAAAAACAAAGAAAGCCCGAGACACTGCCAGAGACCAGAAGAGAAACAATGACAACAAATGCGGTGGGCGATCCTGAATGGGGTTCGATGACAGAAGACGGCATCAGTATAAGAAATAGGGAAACCCACTGAAGTCTGAAGTATAGTTTCTAACAATACGCCCATGCTGGTTTCTTAATTTAGCCAAATGCACCTAGGGGAGATAAGGTAGGTATTATACAGGACTCTCTGTACTAGCTTGGCAATTTTTCTATCAATCTAAATCTACATCCCCGAAAGCTGTTTTCTAAAAAAAAACAAAACTAATGTTAAAAAAAAAGTGCTTAATGAATATGAATCCAGAGAGTCCTATCCGAGATACTAGTCATTTCAGCAGGAGGCACAGAAACACAAGCATCACATCGTTGTTGTTTTCTTTCCCAAAGTTCCAGGCTTTGAGATAAATTGTAAAAATAAAAAACAAATCATGACTCCACCATTTTTCCTGGACCATATAAGCTCAGTAAAGACTCTGGTCCATACACACAAAATACTCCAACAACAACTGGAATGGCTAGCTGCCCAATGACAGAAAGCCAATTAAAGCATCAAATCTTTTTTTGGAAGCATCATATCTTAATGTAAAATTCCTCTTCTAACAAATGGGT